CATCGCCACCGTGAAGAACCCAGTTTTAAACAAAGGGGAGAATCAAATTTGTTCTCCTCTCTTTTGTAATCGGAATCCAAATTATAATCGATTTTGAGAGAATACAGATCAATTTTTCTTTTATTTCTTTTACATCGAATTTTTCCACCGAACAGAAGTTTGATGGCAAGATTAATTTCTGTTTGTGGAGGTGCTAGGTGATGGATGCGTTGGATGCACAGAATTTAGAGGGGATTCTTGAGTTACAAGAAAAACCAGCTGATATAGATGATAGTGTTTGGAAGAAGATGAACAGTAGGACTTGTGGAGTTATTCGGTCATGCTTGACGTCAGATCTTATTTATGATATGATGAACAAGACGTCGACGGAGAGATTGTGGGAAATGGTCAATGAGAAGTATCTTACGAAGAGCATTAAGAATCAGCTTCACTTGAAGAAAAGGTTTTACTAGTTCAAGATAAAGAGAGGAGTTTTTATTAGAGAGCATATCAACAACTTCACGAAGTTACTTTCAGATATGGTCAATGTGGACATCATGGTTGAGGATGAAGACAAGGCGATGCTACTTTTGTGTTCGTTGCCGGAGGATGATTATGGTACGTTCGTCCTCACTATGATCAATGGAAGAACTATTGTTAGCTACAAGGAGGTGACCTCGGCGTTGGTGAATTATGAGTTGAGGAAGAATAATGGCGAACCCTCCGAGAAGGCACTGGGAGATACATTAGCAGTTTGAGGCCATAGTCCAAACCGCCGCTAAGTAAACCGCTCAAAATCAAAGAATAGAGGTGGCTATAAGAGTGAGGCCATAGTCCAAACCGCCGCTAAGTAAACCGCTCAAAATCAAAGAATAGAGGTGGCTATAAGAGTGTTGGTAGAAATCAATATCGTTTTTGTAGAGAAGATGAATATTGGAAGATAGACTGCCCAGAGTTGAAGGACAAAGCCGAGAAGAATAAGGAAAAAGCTGTACAAACTTCAGAAGTGAATGTTGCAAAAGCTGCTGGTGAATATTCAGATTCATATTCTTCAGGCTATTTGTGCCCTACACTACCGTCGGTTTGCTATGCCGACTTTATAGAGTGGATGTTAGATTCAGGAGCCATATATCGTATTTGTCCAAGGAAGGATTGGTTCTCCAGCTTTGAGGAGCAGAAGATTGACCTATAATGGTCCAAGATTGAGTTACCACCCAGGCGCGAGTTCAGGTGCCTTATGCTCAGCATTATGCCAGCTAAGCATCAAGGGTATTCTCCATCCTGAATTTATCTGATATTATAGTGAGATTTTGGTAGGACGTAGACCCGAAATTATTTGTAAGTGAAGGCTCTGCTAACGATTCAGCTGTCTTTGAGAGGGGATCCCCTCCTATGTGGAAGGTGTCCCAATGTATGTAAAGACACTAATTTTGTGCTGCCTTCTACGGTGTGGCTAGACTTGAACTCGGGTTGGTTGTCTAATTGTAGTTGAACTTACCAAGATTTTCATCACACTCTAGGAAAAAAGTCTATGGCTTTGAAGCTGGGGTGTGGTACAATGATTAAGGTGAAAAAAAACAAGTACAAATATCAATTTGAATATTAAGCCCCGGTATGAACGTCGAAACAGTCTCTTAGCTAGAGGAGAAAAAAAGTTTTTGAGTCTAGACTTTAGCATAGGTCTAAGAGCCTGATTGGTTAATCTCAAAATTGGACTAGTTTCAAACCTGATCCAATTTTGAGGAGAATTCTGATTGGAGAAAATCGAAACAACGCTAGTCAAGTTTTTCTTAGCCCAAATATGGGTGTCTAAATTGATTCTATTTTGAACCACATCCCTCTCGTTTTATAATAAAATTCGTTTAATATAAAACTGGACCATAACTAATTCTGATTCAAATTCATACAATATGGCAAATAGAGCCTAATATTAGGGTTGGGTGTGGGTTGGATCGACCTGCGGGATGACCTAACCTAGCCCGTCATGTAGTGGGTCTGACCCGACCCAACCCATGATATACCAATGTCATGGGCCGGACCGAGTCCTGCCCTAGATCCGGGGTTAGAGAAGTAGATTCGGCCCACGCCCGATCGGGCCCATGCTTGACCCCGTCCGGTCCTTAGCCATATTTTTTTGTTAGGCTAGCTATTTTTTAAACATTTGGGTCTGCAGCTAGTTACCAACAAAGCCAAAATATCATAGCTCTCTGACTCGTGCGCCTTACAAAGTAGCGATCTTTAAGCTCGCTATTGTCTGGTTAGAAGGATTAAAAAGTTTAATACAAGGTTAAAAATAATTCAATATAAGTTTAAATTACTAAAAAATAAATTAGGAATAAATTTATAATTATAAATATAAGTTTAGTATAATTATAAAGATAAAAAATAGAAAATTAGTTAGACGAAAAACCGAAGGGCCGTAGCCCGCACCTAGGCGGATCGTGGGATGGACTGGGTTTTAGATCCGGACTCGGGATCGGAAAGATATAACCGGCCCATTCTAACCCGACCAGGCCCGAGTTAGGCCCGACCCGACCTTGAGCCTGATGAGCTGGGTCACGGGCCTGAGCAGGGCGGGCCTACGCCCGTTCCTACATAATAATATTAGAGCTCGTTTGTTTGTATTATTTGGAGAGAGAAAGCTTGTCAAAGTTATGAAAAAATCAGAATTTTGACGGACTTTCACCCTCCAAAAATTATGTCAAAACGGGCCCTTAGAGTAGATCCATCCTACTTTAATGGTTTATTGTATCATAATGATGTAAAGGATGATGGGAAATTTCACCACGCTGTACTTGAACTCTACAGTTTACCTCATGATTATGTGAAGAGTAACACATGCACTCAGCATTCATGATAAAAGAAAATCAAGATATAGCATTTTCGCCCAAATGATCCACACGAAAAAAATAAAACCAACCGTCCAGATGTGCTAGTCAAACTTAGGGGTCCAACTTTGAGGTGTAGATAACCGATCCCACAAAAGATATCCGATCTTATCCAAAAGCTTGTTGCTCGGCGTTGACTAACGCCAACTATTCAGTGCGGACACCGGACAAACAATTGACGGCGTCTTGTCTCCCTTCACCTGGCGACACGTGGCACGAGGTCCGACGCACGTGGCGGGGCCCATCGAGCGGACAGCTGGAGTTGCATCGACAAGGGTAAAGTTTCGTACGTAGACGTATGGGAGTTAGACACGTGTCGAGAAGGGAGCAAGGACACTGAGGGGAGGCACGAGGGGAGAACAGCTAAGCATGGGAGTTGCGCTGGACAATATGCAGCTCAGTTCCCTAGAAACTATACTACCCTGCGGAAATACCAAGGTTTCGTGTAATCTTTTACATACACCCCTATTAAAAAGTGTATTTGAATAATTTTGTCACTTTTATAAAAGAGTTTGTTATGCAATTATCTAACACTAAACATGCTTCTCCCACCTTTACTTTTTTAAGCCACAACTTATTTAATTCTTCTTAGATATTGATTCTTCAATACAAGTGCCTAACATTATTCTCTCTTTCTCTTATCTCTTTGTAGTTCATTAGGCTCTTGTAAAGCCATAAATTTCCTAATGTTTACCATGCTATTTTTGCAGATGTGGGTCAAACTTGCAAATTTTAAAGAAAAACAGGAGGGACACAATAGTTTTTAAATGATATATATAGGAAAAATCGTAAATATGAAGAAGGGAAAAATATATCTTTTAAGAAGATGGGGTAATAATTTCCATCTCTAACTTTCTCTAACTATGAAGATTATATAGTGCAAATAATGCATGCCATAAATCGGAGGGATCATTTCCTTCTTCTTTCTGACCAAAAAATATTAGATGCTTTAATTAAGTTAAAAGGTCAAAAATCCAATTTATCACTCATAATAAATTCTATAAGAAGATCGGCTATCACCCCTAAGGCGAAATATTAATCATCAAAAAATAAAAAAATTCAATTGACAAAAGATTTAGAACCACTTGCAGTGGTTTAGTCACATAAAATGTCAATTGCAAACGTTATAATTCATAAATTTAATTCTAATTACAATTTGAAGTATTCTTTTTGTTTTTTTTAACCGACATTTTTTCATAAAAATTAAGTTGTACACAAGCATATTGTATGCACATTGATTTTACAAAGAAAATGGACCACCTAGGTAATTGTAGTTGACAAAGACTATAAATATAGCATAACATCTATGATTGTGAAGCAGTTTTTTTATTGAAATAAACTATGTTTATAGTCACAATTTTCTAAATGGTGATAAATTTAACAAATATATTTAGAGATATTAGTCAAAGAAATATAGAGAATGAAATTGTTCTTATTTAAGCACAAATCCAATTATTAACTTACTATTAAACTATATTTGATAATTACAACAAAGATTGTTTTTTCCCGGGTAAACGAGGGAGTAAAAAACTAATAAAGAATTTCTCTCAATTTTGCTCTTTATTTAGGACAAATTTTCAAAACCAACCTATTTGGACTTTTATTCCCAAAAAAAGACCCGTTTCACATTTATTTAGAGAAACCGACCTGGTTTCAGCCTCAGCTCTGAAACCAGGTCGGTTTTTGAAAAAAACTCTCCGAAACTTCACTGGAGTTGAACTCCCGTGAAGTTTTTTGAACTACGAAACTTCACGGGAGTTCAACTCCCGTGAAGTTTCGGAGAGTTTTTTTCAAAAACCGACCTGGTTTCAGCACTGAGGCTGAAACCAGGTCGGTTTTTGCAATTATTTTTGAATGGGGTCGTTTTTTGGGAATAAAAGTCCAAATAGGTTGGTTTAGAAAATTTGTCCTCTTTATTTACTTCTCAAAGTTGCCCGTGCAAGTACCAACATATTTGGGCCTGTTCTGCAAAAAATGAACAAGAGTGGTACTTTTGTACTAAAAGGTACATAAACTACGCCCAGACCTTATCCTTTCCGTCTCCCAAGGGGTGCATTTCACAAAAGAACAGGAGTGACTTTATCAATCTCCTGATATTTCAGAAAGTTGAGAAGAGATGGGAGAAGTTTACATTTTAATTATATTAATAGATCACTCTCTCTATATAAAGACCTTGTCTTCATCCTTCCTCTTGCTAGAAAAAATCTCTATTTTCCCCTTGAGAATCTATACCTCAAGGTAAGAATTTCTCTGGCTTTTAACCCATAATTTGTCGAATTTTCTTTTCTTTTCTATGCACCAAAAGATCTTGGTCACTTCAAGTTTTTCTGTTTATTTGATGGGAAAGTGGAGTTTTTCTTGACAATTTCTCTTGTTCTTTTAATTCAACTACACTCGTCTGTTTACTTAAATGACACAAGGATCCCACTGTTTTCACAAAACTGCAGCAAATTCTTCATAAAATTTTTCATATTTGGGGAAAGCAATCCTTAGTCCTCTACTTCCTCCACAAGGAAAGCTTCATCTCGTCTAAAACAAGCCAAAGATTCAAATTTTCCGTCAAATTTGCAATTTTTCCGGATACCCATTTCAGTTCTCTACCTAACTTGACTAGAGAAAACAAATTTGACTTCGATTTGCTCACTAAATGTCCTCAAAATCCTACTCAAACCTGCTTGAATTGGCCTCAGGGCAGTCCCCATCAATGAACAGAATTACCCGCCGTCTCCCTCGAGTCATGACGGTCTCCGGCATAATCTCTGATGCTGAATCCAACTCCGATTCTGAGACTGAATCTATCGACTCTCCTTGTTCCCCTCGCCCTCGAACCATCGTCGTTGCCAATCACCTCCCCATTCGATCCCATCGAGGCCCCGATGGCTGGACCTTCAAACTAGACCATGATTCCCTCCTACTCCAACTGAAAGAGTCAGTCTCATCCATGGAGTTCATCTTCATTGGCTGTCTTCGTGAAGAAATCCCCGTCTCGGACCAAGAAGAAGTTGCCCAGACCCTTCTTGATTCCTTCAACTCCGTGCCCGTGTTCCTTCCTGGTGATCTGTACACCAGATTCTATCATGGGTTCTGCAAGAACCACCTTTGGCCTTTGTTCCACTCTCTCCTCCCATTGTCCTCTACTAGATTCGATCGAACTTTGTTCCAATCTTATGTCTCGGTCAACAAGATCTTCGCGGATAAGATCCTTGAGGTCATCAATCCCGATCACGATTTCGTTTGGGTTCATGATTATCACCTCATGATCCTTCCCACGTTCCTCAGGAAGAGATTTAATAGGGTGAAGCTCGGGTTTTTCCTTCATTCACCATTCCCATCATCCGAGATTTATAAGACTCTGCCTGTTCGAGAGGAGATCCTGAGGGCGCTCCTCAATTCGGATTTGATTGGGTTTCATACGTTCGATTATGCTCGGCATTTCCTTTCATGCTGTAGTAGAATGCTTGGATTGACTTATGAGAGCAAGAGAGGGTATATTGGATTGGAGTATTATGGTCGAACTGTTACAATCAAGATTTTGCCCGTTGGTATTCATAACGGGCAGCTTCAATCTGTTTTGAGATTACCCGAGACTGAATCGAAGGTTACCGAGCTCATCAAGCAGTTCTCTGATAAGGGGAAAGTTTTAATTTTGGGCGTCGATGACATGGATATTTTCAAAGGAATCAACCTGAAACTTCTCGCAATGGAGCAACTTTTAGTAGAGCATCCAGAGTGGCGTGGAAAAGCAGTATTAGTTCAAATTGCTAATCCAGCAAGAGGAAAGGGAAAGGAAATCAAAGAAGTTCAAGCTGAGAGCTATGCTATGGCGAAAAGAATCAATGAGGCCTTTGGGCAGCCGGGATATGAACCCGTAGTTCTCATAGATAAACCACTTCAATTCTACGAAAGAATGGCATATTATGTAATGGCTGAATGTTGCTTGGTGACAGCGGTAAGAGATGGAATGAATTTGATTCCATATGAGTACATCATTGCCCGGCAAGGGAATGAGGAACTGGATAAAATCTTAGGTTTAGGTTTATCAAAGCCAAAGAAGAGTATGCTCGTTGTTTCAGAATTTATTGGCTGCTCACCTTCTCTCAGTGGAGCAATTCGGGTCAATCCATGGAACATTGAGGCTGTGGCTGATGCAATGGACTATGCGTTGGACATGGCTGAGCCTGAGAAGCAACTGAGACATGAAAAACATTATCGATACGTTAGTACTCATGATGTTGGCTATTGGGCAAAGAGTTTCTTGCAGGATTTGGAGAGGACTTGCCGAGATCACAGTAGTAGGAGGAGTTGGGGAATTGGGTTTGGATTGAGCTTTCGAGTTGTTGCTCTTGATACGAGCTTTAGAAAGCTTTCAATGGAGCATATTGTTTCGGCTTATAGGAGGACGAAGATAAGAGCGATTCTTTTGGATTATGATGGAACTCTCATGCCACAGACTTCCATAGACAAGAGTCCTAGCTCTAAGTCCATTGAAATCCTGAATAGCTTGTGTAGAGATCAGAATAATTTGGTGTTTATTGTTAGTGCAAGAAGCAAGAGGACTCTGAATGAATGGTTTTCTCCTTGTGAGAATCTTGGGATGGCGGGAGAACATGGATGCTTTCTTAGGTAATTGGTTCTTATTTCCTTGTTATGTGCTACATTATACATTTCTCTAGTATAACAAGTTTTATCTTCATATGATGGAATAGTTTCCGAGTTTCCTTTTGCCGGGTGCTTGGTGTTCTAAATTGAAACACTGTACTTATTTTATTCCACAGAGAAATTAATTAGGAACTTCAGTATTTGGTATTTTACTAACATCTTCAAGTACTTTTTTCTTTGAAATGTTGAAGTTGCTCTCCAGGTAAATTTAATTTTTTCTTAGTATTTTCTCTAACCATAACATGATTAAACAACTGAATTGATGTTGTAAGTTTGAGAACTCTAATAGCTGACTAGAAAAGTAAAACAGCCTCATCTATCTACTTTATTGTTTGAGGATGATTTGGGATTTTTACTTCGAGATTTTAACTTCAATTTTAATGCCTCTATCCTTATCTTGTATGACATGAGGTCTAAACCAAGGCATAAGGAATTCTGAAGTGTTGTTTGAATGAATGGGTTCTATGTTCTTTTTAGTCTTTTTTAATTCTGTTTCTAATTTTTATCACCGTCACATTTATTAATCACCCTTTACTGTTCAAAACTCAACTACATGTTAGTTTCAAATTTTAGTTCACTTCAGTTTATTGAACTGTATATAGATGCTCTGCTTTAATTAATTTGATGGAAGTAACTTGGCAACTTCTGGTTTCAGGTGGAAGAGGGATGAGGAGTGGGAGACTTGTGTTCCTGGATCTGATTGCAGCTGGAAACAGATCGCAGAGCCTGTGATGAAGTTATACACTGAAACAACTGACGGTTCCACCATCGAAGAAAAGGAGACTGCCCTTGTTTGGTGCTATGAGGATGCTGATCCCGATTTTGGCTCTTGCCAGGCCAAAGAGCTCCTTGATCACCTCGAGAGTGTACTTGCTAATGAGCCTGTTTCTGTGAAGAGTGGTTCCCATATCGTGGAGGTTAAGCCACAGGTATGAATTTTGATGTGGTTTTCTTATCCTAGAGAAGCATTTGATGAAATTATGAAAAAGGAAAGGGCATAGAGAAATTAGAGAAAATGACTTGTTTTAGTTTCTCAGTCTGAGAATGGTACTTTTTTCCTTTTGTGAACAATCAATGGTAGGAAAAATCTATTAACGTTTCTTTGCCATGCTTTTATTGGAAACAAATGCAACCTTAAGGACTATAGACCTTACAGAAAAATCATATGTAACTCATATGCTTTGTGTTAAAATTGTTGTATTAAGTTTTGAAATTTTAGGTGTCTCCTTATCTTTTGATTCCATCAACTTAAAAATACCGGCAATGTAATCAACTTAAACAAGAGTTACTTGTTGGTATTATGATTGTTATTAGAAACCTGTTCATGGTTGGAATGTGGAAAGTAGACGGGAAACCCTTTTTTTTTTGAGAATTATGGGAAACATGTTAGATAAATGTAACTTAAAAGTGTTCACTCCCATTGAGGGCATTGACATACAATGCTTCTCTATTTGATACAAAACAGTACACACCTATTTGTTTCGATAAGTCATATGAATTTTGAACAGAAATACAAACGGCTTCCTTACTTATCCGAGATTAAAAAATTTCAGATCTGATTTAAAACAACATTTTTAGGCTTCTAAAACTGTTTTAACTTTTAAACCCACATACGATGCGTATAAGAACTTATTTGTTAAAATAGAAACTGCATTATGCACAACTCGAGTTTGAAGAGACTGCTTAACAATTTTTTTTCATTATTCTTGTTTCTATAGGGTGTAAGCAAGGGCCTTGTAGCTGAACGCTTGCTCTCAACCATGAAAGAAAGGGATCAAGTCCCTGACTTTGTGCTCTGCATTGGAGATGATCGATCCGATGAGGACATGTTCGAGGTTATAAGCACGGCCATCACTGGGCCTTCTCTGACTCCAACAACCGAGGTTTTTGCATGCACGGTCGGTAGGAAACCAAGCAAGGCTAAATATTATCTCGATGATACAGCTGAGATTGTTAGATTGATGCAAGGTTTGGCTTCAGTCTCCGAGCAATCACTTGGAAGCTCAGACTAAGAGGCCGTATCGAGTGTTAGGTTCATGTTGTAGTGTAGGCAGAGCTTTTTCATCTTGATTTCCTAGGTTTTTGAGATTGTATATAAGACTTGTTGTGTAATTGTTGTGTATATATGGATACTTTTGAGGCCATTGTTGTCTTGAAAATTATGAACAAGCATTTGGTTGTTTTACTTGCTAACTGGGCCTTTTAGATTTGATGCGAGATACTGGGCTCTTTCAGGTAGAACCTTGATGGTATCTACTACAAATGGGATACCGTCAACGGTTACAAGCATAGCTCAAACGCAATTTATGTGGTTTGAATCCAAGATTTCTTGAAATTGGTTTTTCTGATTTCATCTTTGAAGTTTTTTTTTTATTCATGTACCAAAACTCCATACGAATGTTGAAAGGAGTTTGGTTTGAAAGTTGCTATTTTAAATGAATGCTACCAGCCTTCAAGGCTCAACATTAGTCTTCTGCCTGCATAATCTTGTGTCGTATTTGGGTAAGGTGTGATTTGGATTGTGCTGGGCTTACTTGCGATGAACCGTGTGTGCATATTTGTTAGGATATCTTATGGTGGATTCCTGTGAAATGAATACCTGTATATAACTAATAGCGTCTTATGCTATAAAAGCATCTTTTTTAAGCACTTATCAGTTTAGTGAAGAGGTAATAGCCGACAGTGAGTTGACGAAACAGGAAAGTATTAGGTTTTCTTCAACTTTCTATATGCATTTCAAAATAAATATCAAGAAGATGAAAAGGTTCTCCAAATATAAACAGGTAGGGTGTGAACTTGGAGGGAAGCTAACCAAATAATTACCAAATAATTCATTAATTTTTCGTCTAACTATTCTGTTATATTCAAATTGATAGTTTATTTAACAATAAGTAAATAATATTTAGTATTCGACTCATATACGAATAGAATTTAATGAGGTGTATATTCGAGTCGTTTGTTGATCATCAAACGGTCGTTTAAAGTTTCATCCCTCATAACGGTTTTTCACACATATACCCCTCAAAATTTTTATATTTATAAAATTACCCTCCAAATCTTGGTATTTGCAAAATTACACCCCACCCACCTTCCAAAATTCTCTCACATTGATTTTTTTATCCCCTTCACTTAACAATTTTAGTTTTTAAATGAAAAATTACTGCGAATCTATTGAAAACTTTAACATTGCATTGTTTAAAAACCAACATCATTAACTTGGAAAGTTAGAAAGACCCAATATGCTTGTTTTGAGGAGTAGTTTTACAAATACTAAGGTTTGAGTGGTAATTTTGTAAATATTGAAGATTTTAGGGGTATATATGTAAAAGCCCAAATTTATATCATTGTATACATGATATTATGTTTGATCATATTATGTTTTATCCATTTACATTTTGTAATTGAGGTTCTATGCTAATTTTGACAAACGCATTGTATTGTATTAGTTCGTAAGCAAAATTTCTTTAACCAAATCAAAGTATTTTTTTAATTGCATAGCTTAATATTAATAAACTGAAAATTATTGATCCAATAAATATATATATTCATATTCGATAAATACTCATAAATATTTGAAAAGTATTTGTGTTCGAATTTGTATTTGAAGAAATTAAGAGAATGATACATGCAGTGTAGAGCAGAGCTTTTTTTTATCTTGATTTTTTAAGTTTTAGATTGTATATAAGAGCTGTTGTGTTATTGACATGTATATAAGGCCATGCTCTGGAATATTCGAAAATAGGTCTTCTCATATTTTCCTAGCTCTAGAATATTGGGGGGGAAATGTTTTTTGTCTCAACTCTGTGGTCACAAAATAAACAACCATCTTTAACCATCACACCTCTCGAATAAAGATTTAACCTCGTGAGGAAAATATTGTGACAGAATCTTCAAAGTAATAACTTAATTTTTTGGAGGAACTTTGAGAGATCATAAATTTATCCAAGCATCATTTTATGACCCAGACTCCAACAATCTTTTATCCTTGATACCTAAATTTTCCAGTGAATAAATAATTGGTATTTAATATAGGGAAAATTGTATCAATTTCCTAAAAGTAATATCTTCATGTGTTGCAGCTCTTTCACTTTTCGCCCATGTGGTTCAGCTCCAAGAAGTGTGACATCTTGTGCTGCAACCCTCTTTTAGTAATTATTACCAGCCAACTAAGCATAGAGAGAGAATAAAAAGTACAAAACCCCAAAATGCCCTTATCTCTTTCATGTTAGGTCTATTTAGAACTAACATGAACTCCAAATAGAAATAACATGAACTTTTATTAGAACTAATTTAATTCCTTTTAAGTCTAATTTAAATCATGTTATGTCTAATTTAACTTATTTTAAGTCTAATTTAATTGGACTTAACAAGAAATTAGACTTAAAAAAATTAAATTAGACTTAACATGATTTAAATTAGACTTAAAAAGAATTTAATATGATTAAAATTAGACTTAAAATTTCGTGCTAGGTCTAATAAAAGTTCGTGTTAGGTCTAATTGTCATGTTAGGTCTAATAAAAATTCGTGTTAGGTCTAATAAAAGTTTGTGTTAGGTCTAATTTCATGTTAGGTCTAATAAAAGTTCATGTTAGTTAAGTCTAATTTAAATCATGTTATGTCTAATTTAACTTATTTTAAGTCTAATTTAATTGGACTTAACAAGAAATTAGACTTAAAAAAATTAAATTAGACTTAACATGATTTAAATTAGACTTAAAAAGAATTTAATATGATTAAAATTAGACTTAAAATTTCGTGCTAGGTCTAATAAAAGTTCGTGTTAGGTCTAATTGTCATGTTAGGTCTAATAAAAATTCGTGTTAGGTCTAATAAAAGTTTGTGTTAGGTCTAATTTCATGTTAGGTCTAATAAAAGTTCATGTTAGGTCTAATTGGAGTTCATGTTAGTTCTATTTCGTGTTCGTGTTAGTTCTAACTCTTGTTAGTTCTAATTCATGTTAGTTCTATTTCGTGTTCATGTTAGTTCTAACTCAGTTCGTGTTAGTTCTAATTCATGAATTAGAACTAATACGAACCGTAGGCGTTAAAAATTATCTATAGGTTCCCACACGCAGCTCGAGATAAAGCGAAGATGACAAACGTCATCATCTGAGTTAGATGAGATTATCCGATACCGTAAAGAAGCAAACGAGCGCATGAAGCGAATCAGTGAAGCGTACGAGTCAACGAAACATGCGGATGCGCAATACGATAGGAAGAACACAAGCCTGGAGGCTTCGGCATGTTGGGACAAACCCAAGGCCCAATAGAGCATGATCGCAGCAATAGTAGAGCAAAAATGGAGATAAAAATTAGACACACAGATTTACGTGGTTCGGCACTTGATTGCCTACGTCCACGGGTAAAGATAGAAGAATCCACTATGAGGAGAAAAACTCTGGAGTTATAAAATCTCTCTCTTTACAAGGAGAAACTCTCTCTATTTTTTCTCTCTCACTCTTCTATATAAGAAGTTGTTTCTGGGATGATTTTTTCCTTAAGCATTTGAAGCCTATTTATAGGATTTTGAAAAATACTATGCATAATAAAATATTAATATTTTACTATGCTGTGGGACCCGTCATTTTTGTTTTCTTTTTCCTCTTCAAACTTTGCTGCTGCTTCTTTCGGTGATTTGAAGTGAGGTGGGGCCCGCTCCAATTAATTGTCAACATTTGAGGCTGAGGCTGCATGCTGACACGGCACACGCGAGTCACCTCAGAATTCCTCGGCCTCTTGGCCGAGCCACCTCGAGATGGCTCGCACTTCCAACTCCCCGAGGACGTGTTTTACTTCAATTTTAATGCCTCTATCCTTATCTTGTATGACATGAGGTCAAAACCAAGGCATACGGAATTCTGAAGTGTTGTTCGAATGAATGGGTTCTATGTTCTTTTTTAGTCTTTTTTAATTCTGTTTCTAATTTTTATGACCGTCACATTTAGTAATCACCCTTTACTGTTCAAAACTCAACTATGTGTTAGTTTCAAATTTTAGTTCACTTCAGTTTATTGAACTGTATATAGATGCTCTGCTGTAATTAAATTGACGGAAGTAACTTGGCAACTTCTGGTTTCAGGTGGAAGAGGGATGAGGAGTGGGAGACTTAACATGATAAACATGTAATGATTAATTCAGCAATAAAAAAGATTTCCAACGCAAACAAAACTGAGTTAGAACTAACACGAACACGAAATAGATCTAACATGAACTCTAATTAGACCTAACACGAACTCTAACTAGACCTAACACGAACTTTTATTAGGCCTAACTTAAAATTAGACTTAACACGAACTTAAAATTAGACTTAACACGAACTTTTATTAGAACTAACACGAACTTTTATTAGACCTAACACGAAATTAGACTTAACACGAATTTTTATTAGACATAACATGAAATTAGACTTAACATGAACTTTTATTAGACCTAACACGAAATTTTAAGTCTAATTTTAATCATGTTAAATTCCTTTTAAGTCTAATTTAAATCATGTTACATCTAATTTAAAATTTTAAGTCTAATTTCATGTTAAGTCCAATTAAATTATACTTAAAATAAGTTGAATTTGACATAGCAGGATTTAAATTAGACTAAAAAATTAAATTAGTTCTAATAAGAGTTCGTGTTAATTCTAATTAGAGTTCATGTTAGTTCTAATAAGAGTTCATGTTAATTCCAAATAGACCTAACATGAAAGAGATAAGGGTATTTTGGGGTTTTGTACTTTTTATCCTCTCTCTCTATGCTAAGTTGGTGGGCAATAATTGATAAAAGAGGGCTGCAGCACAAGATTTCACACTTCTTGGGGATGAACCACATGAGAAAAAAAGTAAAGGGGTTGCAACACATGAAGATATTGTTTTTGGGGGCATTGACATAATTTTCCCTTTAATATAACTTCTGTTAGCTACCAAATAAATAATTGATATTTTCTCTAATGAAAGAAAATGCTGCTAAATACTAATACATAAGTTTTTTTTTGAGGGGAATATACTAATATACTTAAGTTGAAAGACGATAAAATATTATTGATTATTATGAGCGAGTTACATACCATTTGCCCCCAAGTCCCCAAGAAATTAGTACGCGGTGATCGATTAATCTTTTTCCACCCACAAGAAAACGAGAAGATAAAGAGACATAAAAGAAAAAGGAAAGGAAAAAAGAGAAAAAAAAAAATCAGGTAACTT